AGTCTTTGTCAGTGTTTGCTCATGCCTCAATCTCTTCAGGATCATTGTCTTCAGCCAAATGTCCAATTAATTAGTCACTCGATTGCAAGCTTTAGTAGGCTAATGGGTTAACTGTAAGGTCGTGCCAGTTATGAAAATTGGCGGAGCTAGTTGGCGTCAGAAGCGTTTGGGATGGCGAGAAATTAACGTAATAACGTAAAAACGTTTAGTTAGGCGATATAACAACACGATTCTTGTAATGAGATATTAATATGTTATAGATCATCTCACGGAAACTTAAAAACTAGTGCTGTCAAATGATTAATCGCGATTAATCGCATCCAAAATAAAAGTTTTTGTTTACATAATATAGCCTATGTGTGTGCTGTGTGTATTTATTATAAAGACACACACATGCATGTATACATTTAAGAAAAATGTTACGTTTATTAAATATATTTATATAGGATAGGGTCATTCTACAGAAACATCCACTTTTGGTATGGCAAGATGTCTATAAAATGTATTCCTTTTTTTTGCATTTAAACTTAGTCCACATTATTATATTATCTTTTGACTTTATGAATACACATAAATGACAGCTTAATGATTTTTTTTAAATCTTTTTTGTGCGTTTATTTAAAGAACACGTACCATTTTTTTTGTCACTCGTGTTACATTACTTCTTTGGCAATTTTAAAGGTTTTTATGAAATATTATTTCTCGATTTTTTTTAGTACATGTAGTCAGAGTTACAGAAAAATAATGATAATGCAACAAATAAGGAGATTGTTTTATTTTAATCAGGTTTGTTAAAAGTGTGATTGAATGACGTTCGTTCATTTGCGCAACAATGTATTTGCTATAACAATGAAAATATTTGTAAAAACAGTTATAAACAAGTAATGATGCAATCCTTTAAATCTTAACTCTTGGGTGAAGCAGAATTCAATGGATGTAAAATTATTATCATGTCACGTGACATATTTTATGTAATGTGACAGAAAAAAAAGTAACACCAGTGACACAATGAAACACCATTGACACATACATAAGACCAAAGATCCTTATTCTTCAACTATAATTAAGTAGATAAGACTAAATTGTTACATTTGGCAATTAGTGAAAGCAGTTAGTAAAAGAGCATAAACATAAACTGATCTTCACCGGTGCTACCCATAAGGAAGGTAACACCAGTGACAATTTTCATGAAAAATGCATTTTACAAAATGTCTGCTGCAAGGTATCAAACCACATGTTGTCAGTCATGGTATACTCACTAAATTGAGTAGTTTATATTCTATTTTTCCCTAACAATAACGTAGGTCATACCAGTGACTTCCACTAAAAGCTTCATATGAAATCAATGAAATCATGAGAAAATTTCTGATAACTGAAAAGAGACAGTGGACTTCACATGGGCCTTTTTTCATAGATCTTCAGGAAATAGGAGGAAGGAAGTCAAGTGATGTCATCAGTGTGATTTTTATTTCAAAATAA